AGACAGTGTCTAATCCAAATTGAATCCTTTTATCTAGTAATATACCACATATTATACTATATATACTATACTGTATGTACTATATTATATATACTGTAATATATTTATTGTACTATACATACTGTACTATATGTACTGTATGTATTGTATACTAAAATTTTAACAAATATTTTATAAGTTCTGAAGTTTAGGCCATAACATTTATAAGTTCCTAAATATTCTAAACTGACTACAGAATATTCTGAACTATAATATAAAAAAAATCTTACTATATGTACTTTATGTACTGTATGCTAAAAAAATCCAAGTATTATATAAATAACAAATCACTACTCTCACCTTTGATCAATCACAAATTAAATTATTTATATTAGATTCAATTATGATAGATATAATTCCTTACCAGTTTAATCAATATAACTGGTTTATGAATTCTTAACTGAAGAACTCTTGCAAAGATTGTTATCTATAACAAGCCTAAGCACTTGGCATAAAGAAGTTTTACAAATTGAAACTGAAACTAGAATAAATAAAGCTGCACAATATTCACATTATAGAATCCTTATTAATAAATTAATTTATAGAAAATTTAAATATTTCATTATATATATTATGTTTTAAGATAATAAAAAAAATATATTATCAGTTATTGTAATCAATCTTAAGAATTTAAATAAATGCACTGGTCAATCAATAGCAGACAGCACTCTCAAAGCAATTACAAATCATGGGCTTGATCCAAAAAAATACTTAATATAGGTAACAAATAACACAGGCTACATGTCAGGTAATAAACAAGATGTGATTGTATAATTTAATAAGAAGACAAATGTAGATACAGTTAGAATCAGTTGTGGAATGCATATAATGCATATTGTTTTTTCAAATTTTGAAGAGACAGCATTTGGCAAGTCACCTTCTTCAATTGGATTTTCAAGAACACCTCAACTATATAATCTTCTATACTTAGCTTGGTATCTTTATGATAGATATAACTTGAATAATAAAGGCAAACCTCTTAATATAAAATTAGATTAGATTCAAGAATTATATAATAGATTATTAGAATATTATTTCTCTCAATACCAATTGCCAATTCAGGATCATTGAGAATATGAATTGCTTGCTGCAAAGCAATATTTAACTTGGCATGAAGCACATATAGAATTTGCAAATTGGTTTATTCAGAAACTTGCAAATAACCAAAAAACATCAGCTGTGTATCTTTTGGATTAGTATGCATAATATTTTTAATTAACTTAAATGCTTATTTTTAAATACATCTATTAATAAATTTCTTAATACTTATGAATTTGGCATTTGTTTTGAGATTGGCTCTTAAACAAAAAACTAAGCATTCAAGTTTAGTGTTTAGTTACATTTGGTGAGCACTTATATGAATTATTAATGCAATTTATAGTCAGAAGAGACCAATATCTTATGTAAAATTAAATAATAATTTGATCCAACTTCTACCTAATCGATGTGTTCATAAAATGCCTGACAAGGCTAATGAATGAATTAACTTTTTATATAAGCTTAAAGAAAACTTTGACATATTTTTTGGAAAAGAATTGCTAATGACATTAGAAACTCTAAGTAATAATATCTTTGATAAGCTTTTTGATAATTTGAAATAAGGAATAAATAGAGTACACAAAAGTTTTTTAAAATAGATGTTTGCATAAGTCTATTTACCATTATTAATCTGCTGTTTAGGCAGAAATTCTAGTCATAAATTTGCATGAGCATTCTATTATATTGTTATATAACAGTAGTTTTTGGAATCAACAAAGTATGAAATAAGCTTAACACAACAATTATATAAAGATTTTGAGATAATTAATAATACTTTCAGTTTTCAAAAAAAAATTACTAGGTTCCTTAGAATTTAAAGATAAGTTCTAAAAATTTTGTCTTATTCCAAATTCCAAAATCTATGATTATGAATTATTATATAAATTTATTAAAGAATGAATTTATTTCATTATAATCTACCAGCAGCAAATGGAAGAGCTCTTTAATAAACTAGACTTGAAGACTCACTGTAATATGATGTAAGAACTGAAGCAATCGAAGTTACACCTTTCAATTAGGAATATTAATGAAGAAAACATTGTTTTAGGACTTTCAAAGTTCATATAAACCATAAAAAAAAATTAATGATAATTATATAAGACAGTGTGAAAACACATAGAAAGAAAAAAATAACTGAAGTGTTTTTAAACCTATGTAAAATTTAGAATCTTTAGTAATTATTTAATGTTATAAAAAAAATAAAAATTTTTATAAATATGAAATTTGTTTAATCATTATAATTGTTAACATTATTAAATATAAATTTAAAGAAAAAAATCTAGTAGTAATTTTTATATAAGACTATACATATATTTGATCTACATAATACATTGGATACCCTACCACTACGTCCTGGTATTATTATAGTATGGCAAATTTAGGCAATGATCATTATAACAAATGCATATGCACATTAACACACAAAGTCACAACTAGATTACTGGATTTCCGGATTAATAGTAGCTCACCCACAAGATTTTTTCCAGTACATGATTTTTAGCCAATTATATCAAAGGATCAGGTGTAATGTAAAATCAAACAATTGAATTAAGCGAAAAATTTTAAAGTAAGAAGCATCATCTTAAGGTTAGGATAAGGGATAAGAAAGAATATAGCTTATATTAAAATTTCATAAGTAATTTTTTTTATTAGAAGCAGAAGGCAGTTTTATAGGTAAAATTTCGAGTTAATGGCGATTTTTTAAAAAAATGTGATTTTCATATTACACCTGATTCTTCAATCTAATTGGCTAGAATCACGTGCCAGAAAAAATCTTGTGAGTGAGCTACAAGATCAGGTGTAACATAACATAAATAGAAAAATTCAAAACAAATGTTCGTTTTGTCAAAAAATGCTTATAACCCAAAATTTCATCGATTAAACTGCCTTCTGTGCATTAATTAAAAGGTTTTCCTTGTGAAATTTTGCTAAAGTAAATGATTTTAGACACCAATTTAATGGCAAAATCCAAGCCTTAACTTAAAAAAATGAAATTTTACTTGAAACTTTTTAGGGTGGCAATTCTACCCTTGTTAGTACTAAGGTAGATCGGTTACGGTTATGACTGATCAATGACCAGTCATAACCATAACTGATATCAGTCAGTCAAAGGTTTGTGATTGACTGGTTAAAATCCTGACCGATACAATTTTAGTGATATTAATTGATTTATTACAATGTTTGTTATTATATTATGCAATAATGAGTGATTTGAAAAATTATAAGTTCAAATTATTTTTTCTTAGTGTTAATCATATATAGAGATGAGTGCAATGCCATAATTGGTTGTAATTATAATGAATTTATGGCATTATTTGTTGTAATTCATTATAATAACGACTAATTACAACATTTGCTTACATGCTCTAATATCTATAAATAAAATAATTTATTTAACTAAGATAATACTTATTAATAAATTTAATGATGACACTCATACTGATGATCATGATTCTTATGATTTAAAAGTGCAATGAAAATGTTTAAGGATAAGTCAGTAATCTTGATGATCACATAAGAATAACTTTTTTTTTTGCATCATGGTATCCTGTTTTATCTTAAGTTTCACTTTATAATTTATCAATAACACAGTCACAGTAATAATTATCATACTGGACTTCCCTAGCGTTACCATCAAAAAACTCAGACACATATCTTTATGGCTTATATGCTGATTAATATATTCAAAATTACTATCAGCTACATAATATATATAGTAATTGTTATATTTGTTACTATGCTTAACGCAATTGATGATGCCACATAAATCACATATCTGGGTTTTTTTGTGGTATACTATGAGCCATAGGACTGTGATCCCAGAAGGAGGTAATCGAAGTGGCGCAGAATGGGTATATCGATCAGCTACCTAAAATGGATTTTTCGGCTAAGCTGTATTTACTGTATTCTACTATAAAAGTCGAAACTACTTACCCCAGTGATGCTATGCATCCAACATAGCACAAAATTTCTTTTTCTTCTATTTGTTTTATTTTTTTATTTTTGTTATTTATACTATTTCTCAAAATGGGTAGATCGACCAAATCGATTAAATAAAGTAAAAAGAGTTGATCTATACGAAAGATAAAATAGGTGGGAAGGATAAAATAAGAGCAAAAATATTTTTAAATTAGATATACCCTTTATATGACTATGTAAAAATAATATATAAAAATGATCGATTTTACCTTAAATAAAAACAACTCAGGTTGAGTTCAAAAGCTTGAAATCTAAGCAGCGCAAAGTATCACGCTTAAAGTAGTTCCCTCTTGTAATAAAATATGCTAAAGATAAACCAAATTTGTATTGTCTTGTCCCTGTGATCATAAAATCATAACCCTTAATTTGAAGAAAAAGCATAAAAATAGTTAAATTCCAATTTAGGACTCTTATATATAATGCATTAAAGTGATTAAGCTTGTAATCAATGTCATTAAATCTAAGTAATAAGGTCGCTTACTCTGAAATCGCTAAAATTCATATTCCTGTGACTCAGATCCTGTGACCTGTGCCTGAAAAATTGGAAATTGGATAGGGTACTCTAGTAAAAACTATAGTAAGGTATTAACAAAGATTAGGATTCAGAGCCTAATACTTATCTCTAAAGACCCTGTACTAAAGATAAGCTACAGCAATACTCAAAGGGCCTAAAACTCGGACCAAGTCTTTCCATGCCTCAATCGAAGCCTGCCCAACTAGGACTTTTGGTGTATTGTATAGCAGAGTTTAGTTAGTATATAGCCTTAGATCCTCATGTAACTATCCCGAAAGTCAGTTCTATCTAGAACCAGTCCTGACTTTCTCAATTGGTGGTGACTGTGAGATTGAACTAATTAAAATATTAGCAATCGCATTATTACCCCCCTCCGATCAAAAAAAAAAAAATTCGTTAACTAAAGAAACTTAGAACACCACAAGTAACAATGTTGCAAAAAAGTAAAAACAAGATAGCATCCTTTCCTAAAAAGTCTCCAAGCTCAGCAGGTGAGTGCAGTGAAAGAATGTCAAACTACCTACTCAACTTTGATAAGCAAGGTCCTACTAGTACCCAAAATGCAAATTATCCGGTAAATATCAATGGTATATTAAGAGATATTCCCCAAGACTTCCAAGATGCTGCAACCAGAATAGCTAATGAAGAAAATAATGACACTAATTATTATGGTAGAGAAACCAACTGGGTACAAGTAAAAACCTTTAAGGGAGAAGAAGAAGAGGACCTAGTAGAATAGATAGATGCATTTGAATGAGCAGCTAACACTAATAATTGGCCTGAGGGACGACAAATAGCTATTGCTTCTGGATATTTAGGCAGAATTGCTATTAACTAGTATAATAATAATAAAAGGATGTTGAGAGTTTGGAATAACAAAGAGGAACCAAAAAACAGCTTTGTTCATATGTTTATAAGGTATTTTGCAACCCCAGAAAGGCACCACAAATGGCAGGTAGACCTCAACTCTCTTCAGCAAAAGGATGACGAAAAAGTAGATATATATGCTTACAAATTTAAACTGCTGTTAAAGAAGGTTGACCCGGATGATAGGCTCCCAAATAGTTATGTCGTAAGAATGTTTATGGGAGGATTGAAAGGTAAAATAGCTTCTTTCATGTCGATAAATGAGCCAGATAGTCTTGATGCAGCAATTCTTGGAGCCCGTAAAGTAGAAGCTGGAGACTACTATCAAGAAAGGAGAAATGAAGAACCTACTGACAAGCTAATAGAAAAGTTTAGTCAAACTATGCAGCAAATATTAACCACCACCTTGCTGCTAAAGCTAAAATTAGTCCTCCACCAACTCAAAATGGACCCTATAACCTCCAGCCTACCCAAAATAGAACTTACCACCCACGACAAACACCTAATGGCAGTGTTGAATGCTACAATTGTGGGGAAAGGGGGCATATTGCTAGAAATTGTCTTTCCGAATGACACCAAAACCCCAGAAGACCCCATGTAAATAGGATTCTGCAGCAACCAAGAGATGTTAATTATTGTAACCTATATGACAATGAAGCTGAGGAAAAGGTATACATGTCTACACAGCATCACCATCAACCTTACACCACTAATAGAAAGGAGAGACTCGAAAAGAGGACAGAGGCGAATTGGGATGAACGATTATGTAGCAGAGTAATCCAGGAACCAAGCCAAGAGGCACAACCAACCCAACTTATCTCCATGAAAGTAATTGATGAAGAACAAACACTGGCCCAACCTCAACAAGTAAAAACTATACTGAAACGTCATAAAGACCCTTTCATTATAGACGCCGCCCCCCAATATAATATTGCAGAAGACCTATTAAACCAGAAAGCTAATGCCACCTATGCCCAAATGCTACAAATACTTAAACAAAGGTGTAACCTCGCTCAAGCACTATGACGACCTATTATCACAGATGTTGAAGAGTCAAATGTTGCCAATAATAAACATAACCAATGAACAACTGCTGCCAAATGCTATGTTAGAATACAAACAACCTGATTTTGGCAGTCTTAGACTCTGGGGCTGCTGTAAGTATTATGTCAAAAGGGTTAGCAAGAAAACTAGGTCTCACAATTAAAGAGCCTTCGAACACTGTTGTCATAACGGCCAATGGTAACAGGGAAAGGACGTTGGGCAAGATACCAGAAATAAAATTAATTATAAGAGATGTAATGATGCCTACTAGCTTTCAAGTAATCGAAAATATGATGAAATGCTGTTATTAGGAATAGACTGGTTTCAGAAAGTGCACGCCAGACTTCACTTCGATGAAAGAAAGTTATTTCTAAGATACATGGGCAAAAACATAGAAGTCCCTATCTACTAGGCCAGAGAAGATAAAATAGGACTACCTCAAGACTATGGTAGCGATGAGGACAACTTCTTTGATAACTATGAAGAGGAAGATATTGAAGAAGTCGAAAGCTACCATACCGATGATACCTTATCAGAAGGAGAAGAGTTATACACCAATTCATGGGAAGATGTCTATAGCCTGGCAATATATTTAACAACTTTAGAGGAAATTCCAACCTCTGAGGAGCCTAGTAAGGACAAAGTAACACCTATGAAAGCAATCAAAGAATTAGTAAATGTGAAAACCCTAAACGAAAAAGAAAAAAAGAAAGCAACACTGCTCCTAAATAATTTTAGCAGCTCGTTTGCAACCAGCCTCAATCAATTAAGCCAATCCACTATAGTTCAACATGATATAGACATTGAAGAAGCCAAACCTGTAAGGCAATCCGCATACCGAGCCTCGCCTAAAGAACAAGAATTCATAAAAGAAGAAATTAATAAAATATTAAAAAACGATCTAATATACAAAGTAAAGAGCTCTTGGACCTCACCTGTAGTAGTGGTGCCAAAAAATATGGTAAACTCTATTTATGTGTGGATTACTGAAAGCTCAATGAAGTAACCAGAAAGGATGCATATCCACTACCCTGGATTGATGAACTCTTGGAAGCCTTTGGTAAGGCAAAATGGTTCTCTAGCCTCAACCTATTTAGTGGCTATTGGCAAATACGAATGAATGAAGAAGACCAAGAGAAAATGGCATTCATTACCAAACAAGGCACTTATGTCTTTAAAGTAATGCCGTTTGGGCTATGCAATGCCCCAGCTACATTTAGAGAGCTATGAATGAAATTTTGCAAGAACACATTGGGAAATGCATTGTAGTTTACTTAGACAATATAAATATCTATTCGACTACATTATACGAACATTTCGAACACCTAAGGGAAATTCTCTCAGTAATCCAAAAAGCAGGGTTAAAAGTAAATCCAAAAAATGTCAGTTCTTTAGAACAAACTTCTGTTTTCTAGGACATATAGTAGGAAAGGATGGCATAAAACCTGATAATAAGAAAATAACCAAAGTAAAAAACTTCCTTACTCCTAGAAGTTTAAGGCAATTATGGGGCTTCATTGGCCTTGCCTCGTATTATCATCACTTCATTCAAAGTTTGCAACAATCACAAAACTATTGCACCAGTTATTAGAAAAAGGTGTAAAATATGAATAGGAGGCTCAACAAGAACAAGCATTTAAAAAATTAAAAACCCACCTCACTTCAGCCCCAATTCTAAGGTACCCCGATTTCGACAAAACCTTTTACCTCCATACAGATGCTTCAGGAGTAGGTCTCAACGCAGTGTTAGCACAAAGTGGAGAAAATAGAAAAGAGCATGTTATAGCTTATGCTAGCAAGAGTTTAACTAGGACAGAAAGGAATTATGCCATGACTGAGCTAGAGTGTTATGCTGTAGTTTGGGCTGTGGAACATTTTCACCATTACTTCGAGTTCAAAACTTTCATGATAGTGACCGATTATGCAGCCCTAAAATGGTTACAAACTATAGCATTAAAAGGGAAAAGGGCTTGGTGGATTCTATGCTTGCAACCTTACAATTTCACCATTGTGCATAGGGCTGATCGTATTTATCACAATGCAGATGCCCTATTCAGGATGGTAGAAGAGATTCCAAGAAATAAAAATTGCTCTCAGAACTCAGAAAACCCAGGTTATAACACCGAAGAAAATGAAAAATGTTGGACTGAAAAGGAAAATTATTACTGCAACACCATCAATGAATGGTTAGAAAAGAAGAAAACCCTAACATCCAAAGAACCTGGTAAAGCAAATAGGGCAAAATTTATAAAAAAACAACTAAAGCTGCCCTACTGGGAACCCCATCATGAACAAACTCAAGCAGCACAAGTTGGAAATGAGTTAGAAAAAAAAATGGATAATCAAAAAACAATGATAGATATAAATGGATACTTAACTGAACTAACTGATAAAGATGAAATAGAATGGATTCCTACTGTACATGAGGAAGAAATAAATCCCACTGGTTATAAGAACCTAAATGAATTCGTATCATGGAGAACTAGAGACAGAAGTTATATCAAAACTGAAAAATTTTGGGCAAATATTGGAAATTACTACTATGACTCAGAAGTAGATGAGAGGAATGATGATGATGAGGGTAAATATGAGACTTATGAAGAAGAAACCCAGAATGAATGGTACAGCTAGAACGAAGATAGTAGTAAAGAGCCCATAACCACCCCTAACGAATACTGGCAAGACCCTTATGAAGAGGTACCAAATATCCAAGAAATGTATGACCTCGAGGAAATGAAAGAACTTAATGCTGATGACTATAAAACTGTAAGACCAAACATACCTCCAAGTGATCAAGAATCCTGCGAAACCTGGTAGGATATGAACGAATATTAAAAAAAAATAAGAATTAGTATATTTAAAAAAAAAATAAATAAAAATAAAAAAAAATTAAATAAAAATAAAAAAGAATAAAAATAAAAATAAAAAAAAATAAAAATAATAATAAATAAATAAATAAATATCTTTTAATACTCAAATCCGAAGAAAAGAATCCAGTCTAGTTTCTGGTGTCCTGGCAATAAATAAAGAAGATGGATCCCCAATGATACTCAATATTAAAACATTATCTGCTATACTGACAATATCTATCTACTTATAATCGAGACCAGCATAGATAACTGGAGGCACAAAGTCAATTCTTCATCATAAAAGAAGGAATTCTATATAAAAAAGACAGACGCAAATCCAATAATTTGCTCAAGGTTCTGCAAGAACATGAACTAGATCCAATACTTACCCAAATCCATGAACACCCTATAGGTGCTCATTTAGAAACAGAAATCATGTTCAATAAAGTGTGTGATTATTACTATTGGCCGCAGATGTATAGTAACATACGTGAATATGTCAAAATATGTGATCATTGTCAATGTCAAAGAGATAGAAAATCAAAGGAACCACTGCACCCCCTGTCAGTAGTAGCACTGTTTTATAGAGTGGGAATAGATATAATCAGACTATTACAAATAACCCTCCGGTCAAATCGTTATATTGTAGTAGCCACCGACTATATGACAAAGTGGCCAGAAGCTCGTGCAATACCAAAAAATAATGCAGAAGAAGTGGCAAAGTTCATCTATGAAGAAATCATATGTCACCACAGATGCCTCATGCACCTTCTATCTGATAGAGGGTCTCATTTTAGGAATTGCCTTATCAATAATTTATTCACCTCATTACAAATAAAGCACCATTATTCCAGTTCTTATCATCCACAAACCAATGGGCTCATGAAACGATTCAACAAATCCTTGTGTTTGTCAATCGCAAAATTAGTTAAGAACGTAACCGATTGGGACCTACTAATATTACTAGTATTGTTTGTATACAGGACTGCAAGGCATAGTACCATCCAACAAACACCTTTTTACCTGTTATATGGGAGGCATGCCAGGTTACCCATTTACCCTAGTGAAACTGAAAATTTACTTAATGGGACGATTATCCAACAGATATATGAATTAAAAAATGATCTACCACAAGCCTGAGACCAAGCCCTTAAGAAAATTAAAACCCAGCAACAGAAACAAAAGAAAAATTATGACCGTCATTTAAAAGCCACCTCTGACTTCAGTATTAGTAACAAGGTATTCGCTCACGATGCAAGGAGAATAGGAACCCACAGCCACAAAAACTAATACCTCAGTGGAAGGGACCATACTATATCCATAATACTCTTGGTAACAGTGCCTACAAATTATGTGATCTCGAAGGAAGAGTACTAACGAATCCTATGAACAAAAAGCTCCTCAAGCGCTATCATGAAAGACACATAAATAGGAATGAGAATGAATTCTAGGGAATTTACTTTTCTTTAAAACGTAATAAGCAATAATGAAGCCCTGATTCATGAAGACTTAGCTGTCATAGAACCTGCAATTGTGTTCTCTGAACTCTGTCTCTATAATGTAACCCAAGACTTACCAACCTAATTATTCTTAGCTTACAATGCCATGAAAAGAGCAAAGGGGAAGGGAAAAAAAGTTGAAAGTCTCGCCCACACCTATTATTTTGGTGCTCGACTCCACCTAATAACCCCAACCGAAAAATCTACAATCTAAGAGAAGTATACTAGTTACTTCGTAAGAGCCACCACTTGCCTTTACTATTTGTTCAAACCCTTCGGGGTTGAACAACTCTATCGCACTATATATACGAAACTCTCTGTGATCGCTAATCTTAAAAAAGAGGAATTCCAGCGCTTATGTCAAGATGAGCCTGTGGAATGTGCTTTCTTTGGTGAGGTAGAATTGTAAAAGTTGAAACCGCTTACTCCGGTGGTGCTACGCATCTGACATAGCACAAAATTTCTTTTTCTTCTATTTGTTCTATTTTTTTTATTTTTGTTATTTATGCTATTTCTCAAAACAGATGGATCGACCAAATCAATTAAATAAAGTAAAAAGAGTCGATTCATACGAAAGGTAAAATAGGTGAGAAGGGTAAAATAAGAGCAAAAGTATATTTAAATTAGATGTACCCTTTTATACGACTATGTAAAAATAATATATAAAAATGATCGATTTTACCTCAAATAAAAACAACTCAGGTTGAGTTCAAAAGCTTGAAAATCTAAGCAGTGCAAAGTATCGTGCTCAAAGTAGTTCCCTCTTGTAATAAAATATGCTAGAAATAAACCGAATTCGTATTGTCTTGTCCCTGTGATCGTAAAATCATAACCCTTAATTTGAAGAAAAAGCGTAAAAATAGTTAAATTCCAATTTAGGACTCTTATATATAACCCATTAAAGTGATTAAGTATGTGATCAACGTCATTAAATCTAAGTAATAAGGTCGCTTACCTCGAAATTGCCGAAATTCGTGTTCCCGTGACTCAGATCCTGTGACCTGCGCCTGAAAAATTGGAAATTGGATAGGGTACTCTAGTAAAAACTATAGTAAGGTATTAACAAAGATTAGGATTCAGAGCCTAATACTTATCTCTAAAGACCCCGTACTAGAGATAAGCCGCAGCAATACCCAAAGGGCCTAAAACTCGGACCAAGTCTTTCCACGCCTCAATCGAAGCCTGCCCAACTAGGACTTTTGGTGTATTGTATAGCAGAGTTTAGTTAGGGTATAGCCTTAGATCCTCGTGTAACCATCCCGAAAGTCGAGTTCTATCTAGAACCAGTCCCGACTTTCTCACTACGTATCTTATGCATCGGGTAGATAATGGATATTAGTGCGATAAGGGAAATCGGTGGGATATAGAATATAATTAAAATAATCAGTATAAACATTATCATTAGTATAATTAGTATATACGTTATAAGTAATATAAGCGATATATCACGAATAGAGTGTATAACGTGTCCTATGTAAATGAAAGTATACAATAAAGGCTTCGAGCCCTACGAAGAAGACAGTTAGTTGTTCAAATTCCCATAAAACTTCTGTCCCTTAATAATAAAACCTTGCTTTCATTTTCAATATAGTACCTACGATCATAATACACCACTCGCCAAATCTAACCGCCTCTTATCGACTAAGCTGTTCGTAGGTTACACGACATATCCGACTGAGAAGCGACTGACTCGCCGTTTCGCTCGTGTCAATACTGATACTAATACTGATTAAATATACCATAGATCTGATTAAAACTTGGATGGATAGAAAAGTTTTGTCGCAAACCTAGCTAATAACTAGAGTTCCAATCCATTATCCGTTTATCCATTTATACATCGGATATCCAATATCCGAATATATTTGGATATCTGGTTACTATTTATATCCGGATAATTATCCGGATATCTGTTGGATTATCCGGATATTAATAGTAAATGGATATCCAGATAAATTTGGATATGAATAAATGGATGACGGATTTATCCGGATTGGAACTCTACTAATAACTGAACAGTTATTGGACCGATCATTTGACCGGTTATATGACCGGTTATATGACCGATCAAGTAACTGCGGTCGGTCGGTTATGAGTCAATGACCGGCAATAACCGACTGATAACCGACCGTGACCGACCGGACCCACCCTAGTCAGTAACATCCAATCAGATGCTCAGATTCCGCGACTCCACTTAACTCGCTACATGACCAACACTTCGTATTTCATACTCCATTCCTGGTATAAGCTCTTGGTTTACAGAATCTTGTTATGCTGGGCTTATGGTCTTAGATTCTTAATTGTGGATGTCATAGTAATGTTTTATTAAGGCCAATTTAGCCTTATATAAAATATTTTGTTACAATTTAACTTCATATTGTCACAGTTTATATGGTCAAGTTCAGAGATGGGACAAATATAACGGATTGTCACTTGAAAAACGATTATGGCGCATAACATTCCTCAAAGATAATAGAGGCGGTTTTACGATTTGGCACAAGGTTGAGATGATCTTTTAAGGAGCATTACAAGATAAGTACTACGATTTTTAAGGAGCGTTATTGTATTGGTGGTTCAGAAAGGCTTTAATAATAATAATTTTATTATCTTGTAGGGCAATACAACTATAGAGTTATATTATTATATGACTCTAAACTATGGACTTGAACTGAACTACTTTTTGAAAGAGGGAAATTTCACCTTTTTTATAATGAATTGACCACGGGAAGAGCATGCACAAGACCATGACTCTTCTCATTGTTCCCATCATTTTCCAACCATTTTTGTTCTAACCTTTAACCCCTTTCACACAACCTTACGTTACTTTAACATTTCTCACGGTCTTCATAGAACCGATGAGAAATGTTTCAGTTTTACTATCCCGGGACCAGAACCCATCATATTGTCTACAATCGCACCCCCCTTGACATCGCCTCACACCTAACCCAAGTAGAGTAGGTGGAGTCAACGTCAATTCCCAGCACGAACAGGTTGGTCCAGGTCAACCTTTCTTTAATTGGAGGGGGTGGTGGGGTCCCGCATGAAGGCTTGTGTACTGTCATATAGTTTTCTTGGGGCCAGGCGCACGTGTTTCAAATGGACACCACTAGTGATGGGCAAGCGCGGGATTCATCACGTGACTCACGATATAATTCGGGCCAATGCCATAATTCCAGCCGAAACTTACGGTAATCTTGGTAACAATCTGTGAATCCCGCGCGAATCCCGCGCGGGATTTTTTGGCAAAACCGTGATTTGCCCATCTCTAGACACCACCAATTAGGTAAGTATGCCACAATGACGATCATTTCGCAGGTTCTATGGGGTGTAGGTTTTACCTCTGACAATATAAAATATCTTAACATTAAAAGATTTTTGATTATCGATTAACTAATCATATTTTGTAAATATCACATGCAAATCATAATAGAAGTCCGCTATGCTTTGTAGATCACGAACCTAGTATACCTCT